GCTCTACGTTTTGAGTTGGGTATTGCCCGTGCCCGAACCCGCTTCGCCCAGAACACTGCCACTCAGATCCACTGTGCTCGCCTTCTGGCCTTAGTGCCAGTGCTACCACTTCTGGAAAATACGAAGGCGTGGTATGACCGTCACTTCTTCCTAGATCCCAGCTGAGTTTCCCTCAGGTTTCGTCAAGCTAATGACGTTAAACAAGAGGTTCTTGGGAGGCAACCCAAGTGATTTACTGCTTTATTAGATATTTTTCTTTTCGCTTTTTAGTTTTATCTTGGAATAATGGGAGTTTGGAGTTTCGTGATTTTCTTAGTGGCAGGGATGAGTTCGCGAGGCTGATCATAGGCGAGCTACTTGCACATGCATGCTATTTCCCCTCGAGGCACTTCGGTTTGCACACCCTTTTCTTATGTTCTCTTTTTGAGTTGTTTCTTTCTTTTGTCTTTTCTTTTAAGTTTGTGTCTTGTGTTAGCTGCTAGTTTGGTTCATTATATGAAAATGTTAGGTCCTATTATGTGACTTACGGTTTGTGTTGAAGCAATGAGGTCTTGCCTCATTCTAAGTGTGGGGAGTTTATTTGGATTTTACATGTTTATGTGGTGGACCGGTCTAGCTTTAGGTTTTTATGTTGTTGAGCATGGTATTGGTGGATTATATGAATTGTTGATAAATGTTTGATGAAATTGGGAAGTTGTGATAACGAGCGTGTTGGTCATTGCCTCGGTATTTGCTTGATTGCTTTGATTGACATTTATTTACCTTGTGAGGTTTTGAGCCTTATTCTTTTCTTGTGAGATATTGGTCATATTCTTGAATGATTAGAACTTGCCTTGAGTTTGTTTGAAAGGAATCGATTAAGTTTGAAATTGCGAATATGATTGAGGCATTTTGTTTGATTAGCTCTTTTTAGCCTTGTTCTTTGATCCTAGACATTATTTTCCCTAGTAGCCCGTTTGAGCTTTGAGCCTTTTTCTTGTCAACCGTACACGAATGTATTTTGTTGACTGATTTGGTGATGATTGGTGAAAATGGTGTTGTTGTTGAATGAGGTGAATGAAATTGGATTTCTATTGCTTGACCTAAAAAAAGAAAAAAATAATAATATGAGAGCTCGCAAGACGAATCGATTGGATTCTGCTCCTCTTACTAGTCGATCGTGTTGACGGGTAATGAGCATTTGGAAACTACTGTAGGACACTTGGATGACCTCCAATGTTCACACCTACAGAATGTTGTCCTTTTGATTCGATCTTGTTCGGAAAAAGTTACTCTCCGAATAAAAAAGATATATATATATAAAAAAAAATTGGGTCAAGTGATGTTGTAATTCGATTAGAGCAGTGAGGTGTTGTTTGTGGAGTTGTTTGGTGGATGGTGAATGTGCTATATTGTTTATTCCAGATTGATAGCGGCGAACTCGAGTAATTTTTTGTTGCTCGAGAATTTTTGTTGTTTATTTGAGCTTCTTTTCTGGCATATATATATCCTTTTCCTTAACCCACATTACAACCCATGAAGTCCTCGTGATTCGCAAGTTTTTGAGCTTTGATTGTTTTTTATTAATTTAAACGAATGGCAAGCATATGTTGAAACTTGAATATTGACCAATTTTTGAGCGTACATATCATATATTCATCTAAGAAAATGAGTGAGGCATATATGATGATCTATATTTTGAGAGTTTGTCATTTCGGGATCAAGTTGATATTTTAGGCATATGGTCGTGCGGTCGTTGGAATTCGACTCAACTGAATTGGGCATTTTGAAACTCTTCTTATTTGAAACCATATCATGCTCGTGTCTTGTTTTCTTTTTGTTTTTGTTGGGGACGAACAAAGGTTTAAGTGTGGGGGAGTTGTTTGTCCCATTTTTGTTGCGTTTTTTGTTGTTGTTTTGTCATTCTTTTCCCCCCATTTTAGGTTTTTTTGTTGGTTTGTAGTTCGTTTTGTTGATTATGGTGTGTTTTCCTTTATTTTGGTTTCCTTTGTGTTTTTCGTGTGTTTTTCCCGTTTTTTTTCTTATTTTTGGTGTGCAGGTCGGAGGCCCCGTGAGGAATAGATTTAGTCCGGAAAACCATGGTTGTGTAGATGGGTTCGTTGGCTACACATAGGAAAAACCGGAACTCGATTTCGAGTTCGTATGAGTCCAGGCGGGCCCAAAACGCGAAGTCGGGTGAAGTCGCACGCAAATCACGCCTTTAGTGTGATGGTCAAGAGCTTTGTGAGAATTGTATTTCAAGAATAATTTGGCCATTCAAGCTTCATTGAATAGAGGGGTTCGTTAGCGACGCGTAGGAGAAAACGGAGCTTAATTCCGAGTTCGGACGAGCCCAAACGAGCCAAAAACGCAAAGTCGCGCTGCCCAGACACCTTAGCGGCGCTAAGGCACCTTAGCGGCGCTAAGGCTCACTTATCTAGCGGCACTAAGGCTGACTTATCTCGTGGCGCTAGACCATGTTAGCGACCCCAGAGACTCGCAGCTTTCATCCCTTACCGCCGCTAACCCCCCTTAGCGGCGCTAAGGCCCCCTGCAGGTCCCAAAATAGTATAAAAACCCCCAAAACTCGTTTTCTTGGGGATTCTTTCACTTCCAGCTTGAAGGGGGAGGAACCCTAGGTCCGAAAATCACCTCCCCCCTTCACTTTCCCTTCTTCTTCTTCTCTTCTCCTCTTCTCCATCTTTCTTCTTCTTTTCATCTTTATTTTCCATTTTTTTTCTCTTTCGTCTTCGGATTAAGCTTGTATTACGAATTCGACTTTGGACCTTGGATTGATTGTAAGCTTTTCTATCTTGTTTAATTCATGAATAATGATTAAATTTGGAGAATTGATTTATTTTGTTGAATTCAATATGCGTAGCTAATTCGGATTAAGCCATCAGATCGTTTTCTTATGGAGTCATTCATTACTTAATGTATTGACACATGTCCAAAGTATATTTATTGCAGGACACGTGTCAATACACAATTCGTTAATAACTATAGATGACTCCATAAGTCGAGTCATCGATGGCTCCATAACAAAATTGTACATCAAAATTTCAAATACCTTCAAATTTTTAATGTGGTTTATGCCAACTAATAAAAAAGAATAACATACTAAAAGTGTAAATAAGAAGCATTAATACATTATTTATCACTAGTGCGGTACCCGGGCGATGCACGTCCTAGTTTTGTTAAGATAAACATTTAAATTTAAATGATTGGATGATTGAAAGAACGTAAAAAGCGTGTATTGGAATAAATAAAATATAATACATATATTATTAAACGCATCATTGTACACAACATTATTTATTTGGTCTTTTGGTATATTGTCTATCACCACAAATTATATTAGGATTCGAGATAGGCTTAAATAAATCAAATATTTATTTAACAGGATATAAATGATATTTTGTAAGTGTATGAAATCATGATTTATTTTGCAAGTGTATGCAATCAATTTCAAATTTGTATTCTAGAATATTAAACAACACCCAAATTTTTAGGATGTTCCAACTCGATTTCGTTTTGAATTGCAAATTAATATTATCTGACTCTATTTTATGTTTAAAAAATCCAA